GGAAACAATTAACAATGAAAATAACTTTCCATATTCTGTGCAACATGAGGTTCATTAGAAAGGTTAATCACATTCATAAAGCATGCCATTGAATTTTTACCAAGTATTGTGACACTGTTTATTTTTGTTTTATAACTTGAATAGGGACACGTTTGTCTAATACTTATGCATTAACTTTCATATCAATTGCAAAGAGTTCCGGAAAGCTTGCATGATCCTCCTTGGGCAAGCTAAACTTTTCCCTTGACAATTGACGTCGGAAACCGTGACAATTGACGTCGGAAATTCAGTGTAATGGTCATTTGTCTCTCGTCGCTATTTAAGAAATCATGTGGTTTTATAAGTATTTTGGCACTTGCGAGATATTGGTAATTTCGGGGAAGCCATTCAATTCCGGTGCATCGGCCGCAGAGATGATACCATGTTAAAATTGTTGTTAAACCCAGGAACACACAGACAGACACATAAACATAATGTCGTTGAATTGCTAGTAAAGCGGTAGTCTTATAGTATTTGTAAACGTACAAAAAGCCGTTTCTACCTGTTTGAATCACGTAAACAACTTTGTTGTTATTTTATATTGTTATCTAAATCATATGTGCAAAGGGGTAGTAATTGGAAGTATCAATTGTAGCAAACAGAGTTATCACTCCATTGGGAATATAGCAAGTTACTACATTTTAAACTTTTCATTTTGCCAAAACAAATCAAATTCTAAATTGCTTCTAAAAATTGTTCCTAAAATGTGATCATTAATTTGTAGTAACTAAATTTCTATAAATATATTTTGTAGTTTATGAGCAATGTTCATTAGATGTAAAAACGAGTTAGGCTGTTTTTAGCATTCTCTTTAAAGTTGTATGAATTCCCATCCTTTTTTTTTTTTTTCATTATTGGTTAATATTAATATTATAATCAGTTTTGAATATATTGCTTGTTCATTTCAATTGATTTATTCATTGACAATTCAAGTTTCTATTTTCACCGTATAATAACAAAATATTTGACGATTATTTGACATAATTGAAACAGAAATAGAATACATGTGAGCGAACTTGTTTAATCAAATTTTGTTTAAGGCCCATTATATCTCAAACATGCTTTTATTTTTATTTCTCTTTCTTTTAAATTAAGTGTATTTTATAGTTTCTAAAAAGCTACTTATTACCGGAACCATCATTTTAATCTGTTGCTTTGTGACAATAAGTAAAGGTATAGTGAATTATTATTTTGTATGGAAGTCACAATACTATTTTGTTTACATTTTACAAAATTTATGACAAATTATTTCACATTTTTTCTACTTTTCTTTCAGGTAACGAGCATCCAACATTTCTCTAAAACCATTATTTAAACATTATAAAATTCATGTTTAGTGAATAGTTATTTGATTCTGGGGCATAATGTACTTTTAAATAATTGATATAAGTGAATTCTTTACTTTGATTTAACTTCATTCTATTCTCTCAATAGTAAGCCTATGTGTAAAAATTAGGTCAAAATCGTTCTTTTTGTTGTTTAAAAATGAAAACGTTATATTAAAACGCTTCAAACGAAAACAGGCTCAGCATAATATTTCAGTTAATCAGTTATCTGGAAATAGCGCAGGCAATGGGTTCATGTTGATTTTAATCACCCAATAAATTAAAACTTCTTACGAAATTGTACCAGATGTAGAGTACTTTTAAGTCAGACTAAAAACATGTACTGAAACGTTGCTTGAAACAGCACGTATATGACATATAAATCATAAAACTTACATAAAGCTTTACCTTGTAAAATAAAAATAACTCACACTTTTTTCTGACCTAATTCTACATTGAAAAATGTGGTTTTCTTGAAAATAAATAGGCTAATAGATATTGTGTGAGCATGTAAAAGTTTCAATTTATGTAAATACAATCGAGGTTTAACGCACGCGTAAATTGACCGCTCGTAATGGTTTATCCCAATGAATTAGACAATATTTAGTTTATCCCAATTAAACGAACTTTTAATAAGCAAATGACCGACAATAGATAATCAAATTTGAGCATAAACATATTATACATGTTTATGTCATTAAAGACATCAGACCCATTTCAAAATCTTACCAAAATAAAAATAAAATAAAAACACACATGTGTGACATCGCTTCATTATATAAAAGGCGGCTATTGAAGTTTTTGTAGTCGCACAGCACTATCCAAATCATCTAAAAACTTTAAAATATATACATTTTCCAAAACTTACTTTTTTCTAGTTTCTAAAAGTAAAAAACAAACGGATGGATTTAAAAAACTCAGATGTTTTATTACAAGTCAATGCAACACAAATACGTTTTGTTCCATGTGAAACAGTTCCCTTTTAGATTTACCTTTACTATTTTTAGATGAAACGTGTTTACTCATCGTTTAAGTTTAGCCAGGTTCCACGATATCAAATAAAGGTAAACTACATACAGTTGCACAGTCCATTAATTGTATACGGAGATAAGAAAACACTGTCTGTCCATTTGAGGAAATGTAAATAAAAACTGTATTGCAACAAAGCAAAAAATTTTGAATTGGTTCTGAAGTGTAAAGTTGATGAATGTGAATGTTCTTTTACTGACGACGACTCGCAAAGTCAATCGTGTCATTCCGCAGTAAATCATGCGTCTTAATCTAAGTTCTGAAAGACTAGGCTGCTATGCAGTCGAATAAACGTTTCTACGTTATTGAGAAGTAATATGTTTCATGTCATAAAGTCCTAATTTTTCAACATTTTATTATTGCATAGAAAATCTTGAAAACATGATTTAAAATATGTTTCACTATATTAAAGAGAATTGCAAATAATTCGTTCAATTACTACAATTCTTTTGTCCCCTCGATAAAGTACAATTAACATTTCTTCCGCCATTAGAAGACGCAAATAAAGAAATAATATACTAAAATATAAAAAAACAAGATCAACAAGGACGTTTGGCATTCAAAGAACGTACCCCAAACACAGTACCACCCCAAACACAGAACCACCGGTAAGGAGCCTAGCAGGACACCAAACGGAAAAAAGCATAAAAACTATAACAAGGCCATCATTTTTCAAAAGTTATATGAAACCCGGCAAATGTTGGTATTTAATTTGTTATCTGGTAAATAAAAGGTTAATAATATGCATCTTATGATTTGTAAAAACAACCTGTGTTGGCTTTGTTCTAATAATTAAAAATGGTTTTTCCCCATTTTTTATCATAAGGAATGCAAAAATATCAGTCATGTTATCCTTATAACGGAAATTTAATTTCAATCAATGTTTGTATAGCATTAACTTCCGTACATGTACTCCGTTTGTATAACTTTTTCTTCCGAAAAGGGGATATTCAAGTTATTTCTATAAATGCAGGATTAACATTATCGAGTGGTATTAGAATAAACAATACAGGAGTGCCGGTAGCAACCAGTGAAATGTCATAACTTTCATATCACATGTGTATTTATAAAAAGCTTGAATTTTCCGTTTATTATATACTTTTATTTCTTTTTTGTTGACTTTGCAGCTCTTAATACTTCCTTTGGTTCTTGTTGATCATTATCTCTTATTTTCCATAAATACAGGATTGTTTTTTTCATCGAGTGGTATGTAGTAGCCACCAGTGAAATATAATAAATTTCATTTCACATGATGAAAATAAATCTTGAACAAAAATCATTAACTTTCCGTTTATTATATACTTATTTTCTTTTTGTTGACAATTTTAATACTTCCTCTTGTTCATGTTGATTATTAATTCTAATACTGTAAGCGATAAGTATTTGAAAGTATTTATTTCTAAACTCCAAATGCATTTTTAAAATCCAAATTTATCAGAAGGTTGGAACAATATATTGCGGCAAATTGTCTTTATGCGAAACGCACATGAAAACAATTCATGATATCTTATCTACATTAAATCTTGAGAACTGGATTAAATCTACAAAATTTATGCTATATCTCATGGCAATATATCATTGTTAATTCTTTTGATGCCTGTGTTAATATTTTAAATAATAAGTGATGTATCTAACGAATAAAGTTTATGAGGTTTATGTTATTAAACAATAAATCAAACCAGACTTGGTGGTGTAATATCCCACGTGCTTCTTCTTTTGCAATGTTTTTTAAGATAACTTATATTTGATTTTATTTACATATTTTAGAATGTTCAGTTATGCAATTCTAATGTTTGTCAACATTATTGTCCTAATAATAAAAGCATGGGTTGATTGCAATATGTAAGCCTGGTGCGTGCTGTAGATTAAATGGTAAACAATTTAACGTTATAAATAAATTTTATCAAAACGAAGCCCACGGTTTGTTTTATTTCATTTCTTTTTCGCCGTTGTAAAACTTCACATTTGCTTAACATTATATCGACAAAAAAGTAATAGTACAAAGTAAAGTTATGTTCTTTTTTTTCATTTCTTCTTCTTGTCTTCTTCCTCTTTTTTGTTGTTGTAGTTGTTGTTTAAAAAAATGTTATGTTACATCGTTTTTTATCCTCACTATGATTGATAATTGAACTTCTGCCTGAAATGTTTAAAAAAAATACATTTAATTTAAAAAAAAATAGTACCAAAGTAGAAAAACGCGAATGCATGTTTTGATACGTTAAAGATATTCTATATTCATAAAAATTGTTAAAGGATACCTGTCACAAAGTTTCATTAAAAAAAAGACTAAAAGCTGGAGGAGTGCTGTTTAGATTAATTATATCTTGAGATTCTTCCCGAAACAAAAAAAGAAAAACAAAAAGATTTAAAAATGTCGAAGCACAAATTTAAAATATCTTTTTTTCTTTCTTAATAGATGAAATTTTTGGAGAAAAAAAATCAGTTGCAATGTAACTATTATTTGCGTTACTTGATAAAAAATTTAATCTATTTTTAAGTAACTGGAAAGTTTAAAACACAACAACAGTCTATAGAGGGTTTTCCGATTACGTGTTCTCACATGTGACCACAATTTATTCAAACATATTGGACAGAAGCTGTGATATAAAATAGACACATGATTGGATGCCGATAGCACTGAAGCAAAGTCGTTGTTAATAGTCAATCGTTGAGCATTGCCTAGGCATTCTTTTTGCTCTATGGGAATACACGTTAGGATAACACACTCTTGACATGAATTTGGTCAGTTCTTCTTTAAAAAAGGTACATGGCATTTTATTATATTCAATATTGATAAACGTTTTTTTTTCAGGAATATTGTTATTTTTGTTTGTAACATTATTGCAAGATATTTTTGGCAAGTTTCAGCTAAAGTTCTTTTGGTTTTCAGTTATAAAACCATCAAAAGAAATATACGTTTGAATTTACCTTCTTCTAAAGAGCATTTCATAGCCAGTTTGGTCTATTTCTTTTTATATATATTTTGCTTTAGTTTAACATATTTTTGTTTTCAATATTTGCAAGTTTTCATTTTGTCTTTTTTCTAAATCATTCCATTGTGTTGTTTATTTTCTAGATTTTGAAATGGGAAATTTTTATATTATAATAACTATTTTTAAATGTAATATTCATATTTGCATTAAAATGAAAAAGCTAACAATTACCCATGTTTCGAATTGTTTCCAAATTGTTGGTATCTTATATTCACCAGTTTATACATTTCTTAAATGGACAAATAAATCTAAATTAATAAATTCATTTTTTGTGTGTGGATAAATGTTTTAAAATAGTTCACAAATACGATCAGTATTTTTTTTAAAGAAAAACTTGTTTATACTGCTGGTATTTTTATTATTATTCTATTATATTTTAAATATTTAAAAGAAATATCCATCCATAATGAAAGGTTTTTTTTCTTTTCAATGTTTGTGAAGGTTTATTTCTTTTTCAATGAGCATGTGAATGCAATGTTGTTTTAATATGTAAATTGAATAACTTCATTTGATAATAAGTGTTTAGTTTCGTATGAACTTTTCTTTTACCTATAAATCTACATTATTATTCACTCTTTTAATTGCTGATTAATTATTCAATATTTTAATTGCTGATTTATGATTCACTATTTTACTTTCTGATTTGATTGTTATATTGAAAACGATTTTACATTGAATCAAAAAGTAAATACCTAATGTGTTACAATATAAAAAAGTCGGATATTTTAAAAAGATATAGAATTCCTATTTTTTAATTTCACGCCTCTTTGTGTTTAATTAATAATATTGCTATGACAATGTATATAAACGTTTTTAATTTCTCCATTTGTTCCTAACATTATTGAATTACAGGCAGGTGTGAGGATTCATTTAATTACGGGAACAACTTTGTAAATCAAATATCAACTAAAATTACTGAAATAGCATAATATAAACTACCAAAATCTTACTTTAATACCGACTGTGAACCTTCATTTTATAGAACATGTCTATGTTCACAAGAAATAATACACAATAATGCACAAGAAATAATACACAATAATGCACAAGAAATAATACACAATAATGCACAAGAAATAATACACAATAATGCACAAAAAATTATACACAATAATGCACAAGAAATAATACACAATAATGCACAAGAAATAATACACAATAATGCACAAAAAATTAACACAATAATGCACAAGAAATAATACACAATAATGCACAATAAATAATGCAATAATGCACAAGAAATAATACACAATAATGCACAACAAAATATAATACAATAATGCACAAGAAATAATACACAATAATGCACTAGAAATAATACACAATAATGCACTAGAAATAATAAACAATAATGCACAAGACATAATACACAATAATGCACAAGAAAAAATACAATAATGCACTAGAAATAATACACAATAATGCACAAGAAATAATATACAATAATGTACAACAACATAATACAATAATGCAGTTTATTATATCAACTATGCCTTTCCCCTATTGATTATTTAGTATATTCACTGTATTTTTTTTCTAAAATTAGACTAAAGCATAGATCTGAATATAAGCATTGTATTTTGGGGTTTTTTTTCTTTCTTTCCAGAAATAGATTTTTTTGTAATACAAGAAAGGGTCGCATGGATATGCTTTCAAGTAACATATTGATATTATTCTAAAGAAAATATATTTCAGTTTTTCTTTAAACAGTACCTTTCTAATGATAAAGTAAAGAAACCGAAGAAATTTGCGTATTCAGAAGCAGTTGTAAAGGCGTGTTATAGATATTTTACATCGCTAGCGTCTCAGTCAATATTTGTAGGACATATTGCATTCATATTTAGCTGCTAAAAAGTTCATATCTATTTAAAACGGAAAATCATTAGTTCATACATTGTCTTACATTTTTATATATTACACTTTTTTTTCTTGTATCAATATCATCAAAAATAATGAAATGGCTTTTCTGGCGATTTTATTTATAGATTTTATAAAATTTTATTTCATCTAATTTGTTCGATAAACAATGTCTTGGTTTCAAGGTATAAAGTCAAATACTATTTATTTATTTATTTATTTATTTATTTATTTATTTATTTGACTACTTTCTTCGTAATTCACCCCATACACAAAATTGAAGCTTTAAGGTATGTAAGGTCAAAAAAGAGAAAAGGTATATAATAATTAGAAAATTCAAGTTTTTTCTATAAATACCGCCACTCATGAAATATTAATTTTCATACCATAAAATGAAAATAAATCCTATATTTATAGGCTAAACTTGAATATATCTATTTTTATTGACAATATTCATAATAACTCCTAAATATACGAGTATATTTTACCATTATGTCTTAATGATATCTTGCAAAAATTATCTCCTATCAAAAGCAGAGACAGCTACATTAAGAAGCAGCTACATTAAGGTACCCCGGGGCAGGGACAATTTTGATTCAAGAAGAATGATTTCAATAATGTTAGTTAACGAGACAATGTTTCATGTCACATATCTTAGCTTTAGACTTTTGGCTTTCGAAGAAGAAGATTTTGAAAGATTTACTGTATTGGAAAGCAAATGTTACAATTATCTAGAACATGCCTTCACGCTAAAATTACTCTGAAAAGTCAAACTATATTTAAAACTCGTACTCGTTATTATTTGTTATCTAATGTTATTAAAATAATGACTCTTTTATTATTTAATATGGTGTTGGAATAACTGTATAATGTACATCTTCACAGAAATATATTAAAATCGTTATTATCTGTAGGGCATTATTTTCCGTGGTTGTCCTGTATAGATAACATCCAACATGCGCTGTTAGATTTTCTTTATATTGCCTTATTTACATTTTACTTGTTTGCAAAACTTGACAATTTGTGAATTAAAAGAAAATAAAAAAAGACAAACAAAATGTCCTATTTGACAAAACCACAAAATTCTTTTCTCTCAAAATTTAGTAAATTCGTTCTTAAAAATGTTGTGTATATCTATCTGATACCATAAACAAAATGTATGTGTTAATACCATCGCTTTTTTCGTCAAACAATTCAAAATATATAAAGCAAAATGCAATTGTCTTTTTTTTTCTTTATCATATATTTTGTAGCCATTTCTTTGTAATTTGTTTTCATGTATTGTTTTGATTCTTTTGAAAGCGGACACATGTTTCGCAGAAAGTGTGAGCTTATTAATAAATACTTTGTGGAGAATCTGAAATAGTTAATCAGCAACAAAGTTTTATTTCTGAGAAACTATCGGCGAATATGTAAGTGCTTAAATAATATATAACTCCACGTTCATACTTATTTAGATCTAAGTCCCTAGAGAAATCAAATCCATGACTGAACAGCATTTGCAATACATTATTATAATTTTTCGATAAAGTTTTCTGAAAGGATTTTGTCCTTCAAGTCAAGTTATGCATATGTTAAGAGATTTGCTCTCTTAATGCAAAACCTGAAATTATGTTCAATACTGAAGAGTAAGAATTTATTGTTTGAGAACCTATGTTATGAATACTATATGCATGTTACAATTTTCAATCAAATTGAAATTCCGCTTTTTTTGTTACAAACAATTGATTTGAAATTATTTCTAAAATGTTGTTATGATTTTACGTTTGTAATTATTTTTATACAATACAATTTTAGCCTTATTATGTATGCTTGACGAGTAGAGTTGTAATGAAAGAAATATACAAATGTATTTCAAAAATAAAGCTGGTTTTTGTATAATTAAAATACACTGCTTATGATAAAGATACATTAAGATACAATTACTGTAACCTTGTATGTGAATTTCCACAGCAATTTGCTTAAATAAAGGAAATCTTACAATAAACTCGATGCAAAAACAATCGTTCCTATGAATGATTAAGTTGAAACTTTTTTGACAAGTAAATTCTTATTGAAATAAGGAAGATAATGTTTCTTTTTGTCAAGTTCTTGGGTGAAGCAGTGAATATTCGTAAGTGATATGAATGGTCGGTATCAACGGAAGTTAATTTGTGCTGGTCATTACATTACTGTGTTATAAATATGGCTACAAGCTATCTAATTGCCCTAATGAGCCAATCACGTTTCCGGATAAGATGTGAGCTAGATTAGTAAGCTGATAAGTGTCATGTTAGGAATACAACCCTGTTCATAATAATTATATTTTAAAGTTATTAGAAAATGAAATTAGATATCGTACCTTTGAAAATCTCACGTCTTAAAGCACATTGTGCCTAGGAAATAAATACATTTTTATTTTCTTTAGAAAGGGTTAACATGAATTATAGGTTTAATTTTTATTGATAATTTTAGAGCATGTTAGATATGTGTTTACCTGAAGAAAGACGCACTGAATCTAAAAATAGTTGTCCTAAAAGTAGCAAAATGTAAGAAAATTAGTATTTTGACTTCAATGCCTAATATTAAATTACTGTAATTTCACGAATTATTAATAGTAAAATTAGAAAAGGATGGTACAGATAATTGGCCATTGAGTAACTTTCTGGAATATTTAAAACATAACGAGATAAAAAGATGCCTGGGACAAAATGGACGTAAAATAGCAAATTAACAAAAGAAAATCTTAGGATTCAATTATGTAAATAACTGGAAATTTAAAACAAAACAATACCAATAGGCTATGAGCCTGTTCAAAACAAACACATTTTTCTTTATATTTGGTGTCTTAGATAATTGCATTAATCGTGATGTGCTTTTTACTGACAGTAATAATTACATTGTTTGCAGTTGTGTTGTTTTGTTAACTTTATT